GCGAGCCCAGGCCCCCTGCCCCGGCCCCTGCGGCTCGTCAGGCCGGGCCGCACTCACCCTCCTTGGCTTTCTTTCTCCGGGCCAGAGTCCCTCCGAGTTTCCCCAAGAAGGAGTCATCTTTCTTCCGGGATGGGGGCGACTTGGGAGTGGGGGACTTGGGGACAGAGGGCGACTTCTGCGGGGAGGTGGCCATGGCGGGGGAGCGGGCAGCCGCGGGCCGGTCGGGACGCGGAGCTGGCGCTGGGCGGACGCGGCGGGCGCGGCGGGACTGAGGCTGCGGCTTTCCAAACGGAAGCGGAATTATTCCAAGCATTTGAGGCAGCTCACGCTCGCCTTTCCCTTCCCTCTCTCCCTCCCTCGCGCCGCCCTCCGCCCTGGAAGGAGCTGCGCGCTCCGGGCCCTCGCCCCGGCCGGTCCTGCGCCCCGCGCCCCTTGGCTGCCCGCAGCAGGGAGGGTGCCCCAAATCTGCCCCTTGCAGGACGTGCGGCATGATCAGTCTGTGTGCCCTTCCAGCCCGGGAGCCTCCTTTCCCCCGGCTCTGCACCCAGCACAGATCCAGGCACAAATGGGGGTTCAGTGATTGCTGAACCGAACCCACTTGCTCCTCTGTCTCCCAGAGCCTTCGCCCCGCCTGCTTGGTGAGGAGCTCGCGCTTCCCTTGCGTTTATTTCTACCTGGACATCTATTAGGCCCATGTCTTGTGCCCACAAAGGAGAGTGAGCCAGCTCTAGGAAGAAATAGAGTGACCCAAATTTGTTCAGGTCCTGCCAACTGGGCACATCCAACTGTTCCTGCACTTGTCCTCGCTGTCAACCTCCTCTTCACCCCCATCCAAGACTGAGAAGTTTGAAGTCCGTGAGCGCAGGGCCGAGGCTTCTTACAAAACACCCCTGTGTCTAGCAACTCAATGGCTTGTACAAAGGAGGATCCCAAATATTGGTGGAAACATGATTTGGAAGATACGCCGTGGGCTCCTGTGAGACACCCCCATCCCAAATTTATCCCGCCTAAATAAAAGCAACAGAGTGACAACCAGACTCATTTGGAGTAATAGGGAGAGGCACAAACCGCAATGTGTCAAGCACTCTTGCTGGAATTGATTAAAAGACACATTTTATTGTTCTTGCCCTCTTGAAGTTCTCACTTGGGATCTCCTGGCCGTCTCTCTTTCACACACACACTCACACAGCCCCTTAGCAACTGTGTTTCCTCCAAGTGGGTACAGCTGATTGACCCTGAGTGATCACCCGACCCAAAGGATGCTGATCCTTGACTGGAGAGCTGCCCATCAGATAGTGTCCATCAAGAATCCGGACTAAGCTCCAGACACTGTTGTCCAAAGTTGAGCACTTAGTGATGATCATGCAGACTGAAGACTGGGGTGTCAATGTCTAGCCACATGCATGCTGATGAGTAGAGAAACAAAAGAATGGAGCAAAGAGTGTGGTCTGAGTAATGAACAACCATGGGGAGTAGCTGCCTGGGCCTTGACTCCTTCCAGGTGCTCACTTATAGTGCGGGGGGTGGGGGGGGGGCGGCGCGGCCTTCCTAGGACGTGTTCCTAAAGCCTTTTAACAACCCATCCGCCTTTACTTGAGCTAAGCAGCAAAATGACAAGCAACAATTCCTGAGCACAACAAAAATTTAACAAACGAGAGGGACAATAGAGTCTCAGTACGTGTTCATTTTATCCTTGCTTAAGAGTCATAATTTTACCTCTTTTGAAAATTATACTTTAGCTGATGCCTCTGACCTAATAGAAAGCAGAGAAGTCATGATGACGGCTAGAATTTTCACCCAGGAGCAGGGGAAGATTATGACACGTGACCCCCAGCCCCATCCCCAACTACCACCTTGATAAATCTTAAAGAGATGGTGAGAAGCCAAAATAGAATTGTGGGTTGATGACCTCATTAATCATTCTTGTTCAGATATTGGGTACATAAGGACATCTCCAAAATGTGATCTTTAGCCCTGGGAACTCTTGCCAGGGACTCATGAGCCGCACAGCTCAGTAGCCATGTGATCTTGGGCGAGTTTACTCCCTTTTCTGAATCTCCATTTCTTCATCTACAAAATGAAGTGGTGGAGCAGAATGGTGGTTCTCAAACCTGATTATTCGTCACAATCCCCTAGGGAGTTTGTTACAAACATTCACAGGCCCCACCTCTAGAAACACTGATTCGGTACCTCCGAGGTGAAACCAAGGGGGTGGGTATTTTTTTGTGTGTGTGTGAGGAAGATCAGCCCTGAGCTAACATCTGCCAATCCCCCCTTTTTTTTTTTTTTTTTTGGCTGAGGAAGACAGGCCCTGGGCTAACATCCGTGTCCATCTTCCTCCACTTTATATGGGACGTCACCTCAGCATGGCTTGACAAGCTGTGCGTCGGTGCGCACCTGGGATCCTAACTGGGGAACCCTGGGCCGCTGCAGCAGAGTCCGTGCACTTAACCGCTTGTGCCACCGGGCCAGCCCCAAAGGATGGGTATTTTTTAACAGGAGCTACATCAGGTATAGGATTTCAAGGTAGCTGATCCACGCACTGATGTTTGGGCACCTAGAGCCACTTTCAGCTCCAACAGTCTATGATTCTCTATTCGTCACCAATTGCTGATATCTGTATGCAGGGTGTAGGTCCTAAATATGGCATGGTCAAAATTACACATAGAGATCTCTTAAATTGCTCGTGCACGCTTTATATATACAACCCTCTTTGGTAATTTTTATGCATGCTAAAGTTGGAAAGCAACTGAGCAAGACTAACAGGAGGAACAAACAAAGGAAAGTCTAGATTGTTGAATGCTGGCTCCCAGAAAATACCAGCAAAACAAGCTGTAGAGAAGGTAAAACTGAGTTTATTGTATACCAGGGTAAGAAAAGCCCTGCGTTGGCAGTCTTAATAGCATTTTGGACTGGGGGAGGGCAAAGTGGGGATATTTATAAGGTTTTGGAATCTAGTTTAAAGCAGGTCTTTCAATGGGGTGATGCTTGATTTATTTTGGCTAAGGCTTGTGATATAGTAGTATAGGATCGGTGAACACAAGACAAGACAAGAGTGAATCGTCTTTTTAATGCTATCTATTGAAAAGTTTAAGGGTTTTATGTTTATTTCAATGAGATTTTGGGGGAAGTCTTTGAATAAAAAGAAGTTATTTGTAACTTTAATCTTTCTGTGCAAGAGTTTTTTGGAATAAAGTTATGTTGATAAAGATAGGGGAATGATAAAGTCCCCCTAATGTAGACAGTAACCTGTATGGGTGTGAGTGGTTTCCAGGGTCTCAATATTACGCAGATGTCTTGTTATTCAAACCTTTCTGCCTCTAAGATAATTATCAATCTCTCTTGAAAGGCCAAGGGGGGATGGATGGTGAATTATAAAGTGTAGCCTGAAAACCAGTATTGATCTGCAAACTGTTATCGGTCCTCAATGACATAAATATAGAAACTGAGAGTGTTTAGAAACTTTTATAACAATTTAACAGTGCACTTTTTATATTTGTTTAATTTGATAATAAAAATTGGAAGCTTATATTTTGAATGTCTTTTTATTTTTCTAATAATTCTTTTTTTATTGTATTTTACAAAATACTGACCTATGATGGATTGGTCGTTCACCATAGATTGCTTAAAAAGCACTGTTCTAAATTGCTCCGGTTTGCTTACGAGTTTATATACTCTCTTTTGATGTTATGCTTTTATAGTCGTTATGGATGTGAATTGACCCGGTGTTTGTTCAGAAGAGTAAATGAGATAATATATAGGAAAGCACCTTGCACAGGGCCTGGCACTGAAGTAGACTGAATCTAAATCTAGCTTAATCAGTGACACACACATGCTGTTCTTTGATAAGGTGCAGAGAAGATGCACCAGCTCCCTCCAATCTAAATTGGTATTTACAATTATGGCCCCACTGATGAGCAGCCTTCTCATGCTTGGTGGTTGGTGTTATGCTACCCAAGGGTTAGATGATAAAGACAGCTCATAAGTTAAATGTGTGTAGCTGTGAACCTCTGCTGAATCTCTAGGCCAGTCTGTCCCTGAAATCTAGACCTCGGAGTGAATTACCCAGTTCCAGTTCTGGCTCAGTCCTGGCTAGGTGACCTTTGACAAATCTCTGTCCCTTGTGTACTTTTATTTCCATTATCAGTAAAGCAAAGCCAAGGCAGTAGTATCTACTACAGCTGAACATCACACATACATTATGATCAACAATTTCAATTCTAGGTTACACTCAACAAAAATGACTAAATTTGTGCACCTAGATACATGTTCTAGAAAGTTCATGGTAACATAATTCAAATGCCTATTAACAGTTGAATCAGTAAATAAATTTTGATAATTACACAATGGAGTATTATACAGCAATGAGAATGAACAATTTGCAACTACAAGCAGCAATAGGAATGTATCTCAATATAATGTTGAGTGAAAAAAATCAGACAAAAGAGGATATACTCTATCATTCTAATCATATAAAGTACAAAAACAGGCAAAATTAATCCGTGATATTAGAAGTCAGGATAATGATTAGCCATGGGAGAGATAGTGACTAGAAGGGGGCAGGGGCAGTGGGGGGAGGCAAGAGGGAGGCTACAGGAGCTAGTAATGTTCTGTTTCTTGACCTGCGTGACTAGTTACATGGGTGTATTCACTTTGAAAATTCATGGAGAATGAACTTAATAATTCGAGCAATTTTCTGTATGTATAATGTACTTCCAACAAAATTTATAGATTTATCACAAAAAAGATTAAATTTTTAAATTGAAGCCATGGGACTACATGCTCTGTAGGGTCGCTTCTATCTCTGTGGTCTCCTTCTCCAACTCCCTCAGTAGCCCACATCACTCAAAAATCCATAGGTCCCGGGGCCGGCCCGGTGACACAGTGGTTAAGTGCATGTGCTCCACGTTGGCAGCCTGGGGTTTGCAGGTTCGGATCCCGGGCACGCACTGACGCACCGCTTGTCAAGCCATGCTGTGGCAGCATTCCATATAAAGTAGAGGAAGATGGGGACAGATGTTAGCCGAGGGCCAATCTTCCTCAGTAAAAAAAAAGAGGAGGATTGGCATCGGATGTTAACTCAGGGCGGATCTTCCTTACACACACACGAAAAAATCCGTAGGTCCCAAGCCAGGCCAATTCTGTCCCCAGACCTTCCCTTAGGTGACCATTTTTCTCGCTAAACACGTGCCACCCAGCATTGTTCCTACCCTGGTCTTGTCACCTTCCCTCAGCAATTCCAACAGTCATGACTTTGTGATTTACAAGGCAGGATCAGTGTAGTGGTGAAGGGTATGGGTTCAAATGGCCATTCTGCAGCTAAATATCTGTGTAATCTTGTACAAGTT